TGATTTTATTGATTTATTGTAGAGATGAGGTCTCGCTGCCCAGGCGGGTCTCGAACCCGCAGGCTCAGGCAATCCACTCACCTCAGCCTCCCAAAGTGCGGGATTACAGGCTGAGCCACAAGTCCGGTTTGAGAAATTAGTTTTAAAGAAAAAGTTAACCGTATATATCTTGAGCATCTTTCTCTGCAAGCACATATATTTATAGTATTAAATCTGTGTGACTGCTATTTTGTGGATGCACTGGGAAGCCACTTCACTAGACTCCACTTGTTGGGCATTTGATCATCTCCAATTATTTGCCATTATCCACATTGCTGCCTGGAGAGCCTTAAACATGGGATGTCCTCCTGCATTTGGGATGGAGTTCCTGCTCCCCTGTGAAACACCCCACTCCCATAATGAAGCTGATAGGAAGAGTTACACGAATATCACCAATTAATGCTTGAACCTGAGACCTTATATTTTAACTTTTCTTTTTTTTTGAGTCAGTCTCACTCTTTCACCCAGGCTGAAGTACAGTGACGCAGTTACAGTTCATTGCAGCCTTGACCTCCTGGGCTCAGGTGATCCTTCCACCGCAGCCTTTCAAGTAGCTGGGATTACAGGCACACACCGCCATGTTTATTTTTTTGTAGAGATGAGGTCTCACTATGTTGCCAAGACTGGTCTCAAACTCCTGGGCTCAAGCAGTCCTTCCCACCTCAGATTTCCAAAGTTCTGGGATCATAGGCACGAGCCCATTTAGAATTTTAAATAGTGACTCTTTATTAGTGTCTAGGTAAGGTAAATAAGTTGCTAATCTGCAGTAAGCTCTAGAAAAATGTTTTCAGCCCTGGTTCATCTCATGTAAGAAAACTTTGTCAAAAAGATGAATCTTTTGATGACATGAAACACTTGACTGAGTGTTGACTACTTGAGTAATTATGAAGGATCAGAGAGATGTCTCAATCCCTTGAAGGCATAGCTTTCTGATCTTGTTCTGTTGGAAACCATAGGCACATCATTTTTGTCTTTGTTCTAATGTGCTTCACTGTGTATATTGACTGCCAGGTATTTTGACTGGATTCCCACTCTTATTCCAGTCATAGATAGAACAAGGGAACAGTATCGTCCTAGGGTCTGTTGTGTTCCTTCACTTTCGATTTCTCTGTTGGTGCATGTATAACGTTGAAACCATAGACTACAATTACCTTTTACCCTCAGGTGAAACAACGTTCATTTCTGTATCTGACACTTGTGCTCACATAGAGCTCTGACATTTGGTCCAGTTTTTAGGTGTCTCTTAATGGTTTTGAAAAGCAAGAAGCAGGCTGGGTGTTGATGTGCATAATGTCTTATGATGGGGCCAGCGTGTCCAGCAGGTGTGAGGGGTACCCTCGGTTCTCTTTGGTTAGATCTTCTAACTTCCCAGCCCTCCTTCAACAATAACAAACTGCCAGCATTTCAGCAAAACCATTTTCAGGAAATTTACGTGTTTTAAAAGCAGACCTAGGCAGCTCAAATCATGTTGGGATTTTGACACATCCACTGGATTCAGTTACGGACACTGTGAATATTGTGTGCGCTCTTCTTCCTGTTCCTTCTCATTTAGAGTAACTTGAATGGGGGCGGGTGATAGACTTATAATCCCTGGATTGTGAACTAGCCACCAGTACTGTATTAAATTACCCTCTTAAATTAGAACTGAGATCAGGGGAAGAATCCTTTTCGATCTACTCTTTAGGCCCGAGGTGTAGGTATTGTATGAAACAGCATGAAGAAGAAGGCAAGGAGAGCAGAGTCTCATACTCTGTGGTGGCAGAAGTGGATGGTCACACATTGGACAGTACTTGCTGTCCTAGGCCCGGGGTGATTGGCTCATGAGTTAACAAGAAGCAAGTTGCTGTTCCGTTGAACACCATGGAGTCGTGAGACTTGTTTCATGTCTCTAGCTCATAAAAGTGTTTTCAATTTAACATTTCCATTTTCTTTGCACTTAAAAATATGTGGACTGTGAAATGATCCTTCCTAGGTACTGTCCATGGCGGTGACACTAGCAGCAGCAGCATTAGTCACCATTTGTTTACCGGGAGATGAGGAAGAGGAAGAAATAGTGGCTCTTTTCTCCAAGACACTAACTCATCTCTTCTCCCCTTGGGATCTTTCTCTGTGAAAATTGTGTGTGTGCACATGTGTGTATGCGTGTATGTGTAAAATATAAAAATGCTGCCTTGAAGTGGAGTTAGATAATTTTTTTTGTTATAAAATATAGTTTATTTGAAGAGCAAATTAAAAGGAGAGAGGGTGGGGAAGAGGGGGAGAGAGAAAGGGATGGGGGAAGAGGGAGAGGAGATTCACCTCCCCAAGGCAGGGAAGGGGGCCAAAGCCAGGAAACATGGTGATGGCCATAGCTTAAGGAGCACATGGCCAAACCAGAGTCTAGTAAGGCAATGGCTGATTTTATTTTATTATTATTTTTTGAGTTGGAGTCTCAGTCTGTCGCCCAGGCTGGAGTGCAGTGGCATGCTCATGGCTACTCCAGCGTCGATCTGCTGGGCTCAGGCGGTCCTTCTGCCTCAATCTCCTAAGTAGTCAGAACTACAGGCACACGCTACCGCACCCAGTTGTTGTTGTTTTTTTTAAATTTATCTATCATAGAAATGAGATCTCACCAAGTTGTCCAGGCTGGTCTCGAACCTGTGGGCTCACCTCTGCCTTCCAAAGTACTGGGATTACAGGCTTGAACCACCACACCAGGCCAAAATTTTTAACTTTAAAATAAATTTCAGCAGGTCAGAATTTTTTTTTTTTGAGTCCGAGTTTCACTCTATTGCCTAGGCTGGAGTACAGTGGCACACTCATGGCCACCACAGCCTTGACCTGCTGGGCTCAGGCGATCTTTCTACCTCAGCCTTCCAAGTAGCTGGAACCACAGGTGCACACCATCACGCCTGGCTAATTTTTTTCGATTGATTATAGAGACAAGGTCTCTCCATGTTGCCCTGATTGATCTCAGACCCCTCGGCTCGGGCAATCCTCTTGCCTCGGTCTTCCAAAGTGCTGAGATTACAGGTGTGAGCCACCACGCCCAGCCAGGTCAGAATATTTTTAGAAATAACAAAGAGCTGCCCTCAAGTGGACTTGGGCCTCCTTGCTTTGGACCCACTGAAGTGTTCAGATGCCCACCATCTTTGTGTTCATTTTATGCGGCCTACTGGCTAGCTGCTGCTGAGGCACCTGCTCTGATCTCTTTTTGCCTCCATTTTGCTACAACTGTTATTCTCTGGATTTACTAGTGTACTATCTTTCTTTAATAAAGAAGTTTTTCCATTGGAAACTTTTGACCTGAGGGGCACAATTTGCCAGTGTCTCCAGGATTACTGTTTCCTCCATGTTTTTCCCCAAGATTAAGTCAGATTGGTCTCTTTGGTCTTCCTTCAACCAAATGTGAAGTTCTTAATACTGTACCTAGCTAGTAAAAGGCAGGCCTTGAGGTGAGCCTGCCTATGAATATTGCTTTGTTGACATGACCAGCAACCAGCACAGCGCCCTGCACTGTTGCTTATTGGTGTTTCTTGCTTTTTACTTTCAGCAGACCTACTCCAATGAAGTCCATTGTGTGGAAGAGATTCTGAAGGTGAGTTCATGGTTACTGTTTCTCACTTGGAGACATGTTTGTGTAAGCTGAACCATCTCCATTTACTTTCCCTTAAAGAACAGTTGCCATTCTCAAACCCTAGATCTCCCTCCCCTACTCCCCCTTCTCTTTAACTCCGGTGGCAAAACCAGAATAGTAACAAAGGGAGTCTTGGAGCATAATTGAATTCTCTAGCAGATTTTATTCATTCAATTGAAGTCTACAAACTGCAAGGTATTTGAATTAGGGTTTTATGGCATCTCTCTTCAGTTCTCTGGTTGTTCATAATGCCCCAGGACACTTCCCAGAAAGGAAACGCCCTGTGATGGTGAGGTCAGGGGACCCCAGGGGTTACACAGTGCTCAGTTTACACCTCGTGATGTCTTGTAAGTCATGCCAGGGATATATGGGCTGTTCCTCAGTAAGTCCATGAAACGTTAAAGGGATGAAAAGAAAAACTGTGGGAGGTAAATGGACGTCTCTAGACTTACCTTGAAGGGTTATTTTTTTGCTCTTTGTTGAGACTGTGCCATGAACATTTGTGCTTCTTCTACAAATATATCATTGAATACATTATCCATTTGTTCAATTTTTCTTGCACAAAGATGACAAATTCCTTCTAGAATTCAGTTCCAGGGAAAAAATGTAAATTCTCCTCATGAAGAAGTATGATTTTTTTAATCAGAGAATAATTATATAAATTATCCATGTTTCCCATTTTGACTTTAATTTGTAGGAACTCTAGAGCTTAAGTTTAATACTCAGATACAGTAATTATAACAGGGTTTGGTTTTTTTAAAAAATCCTTTTATGGTTTTTAATTTGCTTCTAGGTCAATTTTAATGATATTCTTGCTGTCTTTCACTGTAAGGCTTCTGATTTTCTTTTCTTTTTAATTAGCAAGAAAGTTATGTAAGATACATATGCCCATTAATTTGAATCTCTACAACTCATGTTTATCAAAGTATATGTGTTTACATAATTTTTTTCTTTGATTTTTCTTTTTAATAGTAAAGTATTAAATGATGGTGGTGCTAAAACCAGTAATTAGGTATATGGGTTACTTTTCACCTGTGGAATCTTTAACAAAAGTATATCTAACCAGATATTTGGAAAACAGTTCTGTCATTTGTATTTTACAATCTTTGGTAGTTAGGGTTTTCTGAGAAAAAAAAAATGTTTAGGAAAAAATACTCAGAACTGCTGAAAATGAGAAATGTCAACCAGCACATAAGGTTAATGATAAATAGCTTACATTGATCGTGTATCTATATCATTCCTTTTCTTTCACTTTCTGAAATTCTTTGGGATGGCAAGTCATGAAATTTATAAGTGACTTGAGTGTAAACTATGGACTTAGCATTTTCTCTTGAAATTGTGTGTGATTTGTTCTGTCATTATTTCGAAAGTAAATGTGACAGTGCGGGTGTGCTGTCTCCTGCACGTGTTCAATGCTTCTCTTAGGTTTTGGTATGTGTTCATGTAGTACGTGTCACATCCTTTACTTAGGGATGATGGTAGTTCAGCACCAGGCACACATTTTTATTTAATGGGCCCATCTATCCTCCCTCCCTTCTCACCCAGCGTCACTTTAATGAGTTCCTGCTTACCTAACACAGCTTGACAGTAAGTGGTTAACACAAACAAGGGACAGATACCTTCCTTGGGGATAGGTGGGTGTCCAGGGCTGAAGAGGCCCTGGGCCTTTTCACGGTAGAGTCCTGGTGTGCCTTCTCTCCATCTGTGACCTGTTATATCGCATGCTCTCCTTGGGTTTTAGTTTCCTCCTTTGTAGACTGAAGGCCCTTCCTAGAAGGATCTCCAGGCTCCCTTACAGCCTTCACACTCTGATACTGGTCCAGGTCCTCTGCCTCCGGGTTCCTGTCCTCATCTTCTACCAGGAATTTATTAGAGTGCTAGGAATCCAAACGCAAATCTTTCTGACAAGCGATAGAGGCAGTAAATAGTTTCCTAACGGAGAAAATCGATCTCTGAAGATACAGTTTGGTTCTATGGGAGCGTTTCAATGAAGTGGAAGTGATGGCCCACAACTCCTACAGGCTAATAGGTAAGAAGATAACAGACAGACACTGCTGGAGAACAGGAAACAGTTAAGCACGCAGGTCCAGAGAGGGCGGTGTGCCCTCAGTGGGTCTATGGGAACACCTCAGGCTTTTTGCCAACAGTGGCGTGGTCCTGGTAACCTCTTGGGGAATCAGCGTGGTACCAGCAGATGTTACTTCAGTGTAGCATTGCCATGATGCTAGTCCAGGAAGGGGTAACATTATTATTTGCTATTATTATTTGCATGTTCATTCATTTATTCAACAAATATTTGTTAAGCCTTCACATCTTTTTCCAGGCACTAGGGTGCCATAGTAAATGACAGAGTCCTTGCTGTCATGGAGCTCATTGTAGGGAAGATCAATATGTGATTCAGTATTGGGTATTGCTGGCTGATGTGGAGAATGTAACAGACCAGGGAACGGAGGGAAAAGTTGGTGGAGAAGCCTTGAGGTGGGGTCACGGTGTGTTAGAGGAACAGCTAGAACTAGACAGTGTGTTTGGAGCAACATGAGCAGGGAGGGTCTGAGACAGCAGCTATGGGGCGGGAAGGCCAGGACTGACCCGGGTGATGAGTCATTAGAAGGGTAGGAATGAAACCATGGCCTGAGAGTGTCTGGGCAGCCTGTCCTCCTCAGTAATGGCTGCAGTTCTCCTAAGGCCCAGGGCCCTCGGAAACTAGGCAGTCAAGGAAGTACATAAACCCTCTCAGCCTGCCACGGAACCACTTAGGGTCTGAAAGAATGTGTGTCCTTGCCAAGTGCCTAATCTAATAGCTAGGACAGCCTTAGGCATCAAGAGTACAATGGACATTGTACTAAAAGTCATGGATGCCTTTGAGATTCTGAAGAGATGGTTGTAAACATAAAGGGGATGCTTTCAAACACCTCAGTTAATTGGCACATGTTTTTATACTGCAGCATTATCATGGTTCTATACCTTACAGTATTGTCAAATAAAACAGCAGGAAGCTCTCTTTGGTGCAGTATTGAAATTCTTTTTAAGCTAGACTTTTAATCAAAAGCTGTAATGCTTTTAATGTATCAAGTGCCTTCTGTGCACCATACATTCAGGCACTTTACACAAATCACCCTTACAAGACTTGGAAAGATACATGGTCTTAGTCTACCTCTCAGTGAGAACTGAGGCCCAGAGAGTTCAGATGACGTGCTTAGGTGGACAGGGTTGGGAAGAGTCGGGGCTAGGACTCCGGTTTGGGTCTGTGGCTTCTGAGACCTTCCACTTTCCAGTATATGTGAGTACAGAACCCCTGCTGTGTCCTGAACAAAGCAGATGGCTGGTCAGTAAACAAGGCATGATTTCACTTGTAACAAAGATTACTTGGGAAAGCCAGCATCAGTTACATGGCTCACCACTGAGCAAGGTCACTTCTGTCTCGGGCTGGTTTTTTGTTGTTGTTGTTGGAGTCTCACTCTGTTGCCCAGACTGGAGTGCAGTGGCCGCTCCCAGCCACCACAGCCCCGACCTGCTGGGCTCTGGCGATCCTTCTGCCTCAGTCTTCCAAGTAGCTGGAACTACAGGTGCGTGCTACCACGCCCGGCTAATTTTTTGATTTATTGTAGAGATGAAATCTCGCCAAGTTGCCCGGGCTGGTCTCGAACCTGCGGGCTCAGGCAATCCACTCACCTTGGCCTCCCAAAGCGCAGGATTACAGGCTGAGTCACCAAGCCCAGCCATGTCTTGGCCTGTTGTAACCCACAGTGGCAGCAGGGAAGAGCAGGAGATAAGTGACCTGAATTACTTGCACAGAGCTTGGAAGTGGCAGTCGAGCCATTTCCAGTGGGGAGATCAGGTGGCATGCATTTCTGTGGGGATCCAGAGGTTAACCAGCACTTGGAAAAGAAGGAAGTGTTCTGGTACATGTGAGATAAGGCCAGGTAATGCTGTGTGCTCTTAGCTCACCAGCTTGTCGGTGGAGTTGGCCTGTTCGCTGTTAAGCCGGTTTGCCCCACAGATCTGACCCATGTCTGACCCAGGGACTTCTTTATCTTATATCTTAGTCCAGGAGGACAGAGGGTCTTGTAACATGTGCTCTGTGCAGCCTTTGGTTTCCCGGGGACCCTGTCCCAGTCATTATGTGTGTGTTTTAGTTTTTAAATTTGGTAGGGATGAGGTCTTGCTATGCTGCATAGGCTGACCTTGAACACTTGGGCACAGGCAAGCCTCTTGCCTGGGCCTCCCAAAGTGCTGGGATTACAGGCATAAGATACCACACCTGACCGACCCAGTCATTTTGAACCTCAATTTTCTCACGTGTAAGATGTTGGGGTTGGAGTTAATGATCTCTAATATCATTTTAACCCGTTAAAAAAGCGTGCACGCGCGCGTGTATGTGTGTGTGCATGCACTTTTTTGACACATCTTTTATCTGACATATGTTTCCCACAAGTTTGTTGTTTTGGGTTTTGTTTTTGTGTTAGCAAAACAAAGTATAAAATCATGAATGTGCTTAGGAGAAAAGACTTCATGTCAAAATAAAGATATTTGTATGTTTTAGAAATCTTGCCTTCAACCAAGAAAATAATGAATAAAAATTAAACTTCTCTTAATGGAAAAGAAAGGTAATTCTTTTAAGTTCCTCTGTTCCAAAAGAGTTCTTATGTGGTAATAGTGTATATCAGGGAAGGGTCAAATCCATTAAAACTCTCCCAAGTGGAACAAGTGACCTGAATTACTTGTTTGCTTAAGTCAAACAGGAAAGTTCTTCTTCCCTTTGAACTGAAATAATTCCAGGAAATGCAATAAAGAAGCCAAGGGAGAAAGCCATGAGTAGGAGTGACTTTTCCAGCTGGGCCCGTCCCTGCAGCCTTCACAGCCACTCAACCTTCACAGCCACTCGCAGGCTTACAACACCTGTGGCAGTTCATTTGCTTGACAGCATCTAGGGTGTCAGATCCATCCACCAGCTACACTCTTGTTTTTCTTCTGCAAACAGATTTTTTTTTTTTAGTTTGTTTTATAAGTTGGAGATCTTCAACTTTTGAACATAGCCCACTCAAGTAGGAGTTTTTAAAAAGTCAAATCACTTTTAGGGTTGTACTTTTCATGTACTAGCAGTCCACTCTTCATCAAGTTCAAAGCATTAACTTACGTGGCAATGAATGTTCTATTTATAATGTACTTTTTCTTCCCTTTCCGAATCTCTTTCCAGGAAATGACCCATTCATGGCCTCCTCCTTTGACAGCAATACACACGCCTAGTACAGCTGAGCCATCCAAATTTCCTTTCCCCTCGAAGGTAATTCCTTAAAGTATAGTAGGCACTGCGTCCGCCTTAGGGAGAAGTGACAGGCATTGCTGGGAGGCAGATGGACCAAGTATCACTTGCTGAAATCTTTGAGATTATGTTGAAATTATAGCTAAACTGACTTCTACAGGGCTTCATGATGCTTTCAAACACTTTCATCCTCCATTTTAGGTTAGTAAGAGCATCTTAGATTTGTCTGGACTTTGTAGCTTATAAGAACATTCAGGACTTTCCACTATGTTCTTGTGTGAGAGTCCTTACATTAGAGATGGGGAAATAGAGGGATAGGGAAATTGAGGGAGTGTCTGATTCCTGGTTTAGAATTCAGATACACACATATACATTTATATATCTTACATGTCTCACACTCCCTCAGTGTTCCTGAAGTTTAAGGTGATCAGCTTATGCTAGTGCTGGTTTAATAGCAAGTGAATAAGCTGCTGATTGGTGTGTTTATGAACCAGATATTAAAACATTGCCATTTTCCCTCTTTTTTTGGTTTGTTCTTTTGGATACCTCCAGAATGTAGCAATAGCACTTTCAGATCTGTGTTTGGTTCAGCCTGGTGTGTATGTGCATGGTCATACATATACTTATAGCTATTCCTTTTTACGATATTGTTTTGAAAAAAAGCTACAAAAACCCACATTTGCCAAAAGTAAGATATATTACCTATTTTCTAATATTTTTGTAAAAAGTGATTCATCATTACTGGTTTTAAAATAAAGCACTAAATTTTGTAAAAACATCTTTGCTTAACACCAAAGGGAAAAATAAACTCGAGGAAAGAGTAGAAGCAATAAAAGTTATTTTATGTAAAAATTAGCTTAACCAATGTTTGCAACTTATGCATCAAAAAATAAGGTTGAATAGAGGCATACCTATAAGAGTCATATAAAGAAATGTTAGCTGGGCTTGGTGGCTCAGCTTGTAATCCCATGCCTTTGGGAGGCTGAGGTGAGTGGATTGCCTGAGCCCGCGGGTTCGAGACCCACCTGGGTAACTTGGCGAGACCTCATCTCTACATTAAAAATAATTTTAAAAATTAGCCAGGCGTGGTAGCGCGCACCTGTAGTTCCAGCTATACTTGGAAGGCTGAGGCGGAAGGATAGCCGGAGCCCAGCAGGTCGAGCGGCCACTGCACTCCAGTCTGGCCGTCAGAGTGAGACTCCGACTCAAAAAAAAAAAAAGAAATATTAATTCTAGAGTCTACGTGATGGGGAAAAGGATAGTCTCTGCATTGTTATTTCCATTTTTTAAATATATTTGAAAGTTTCATAAGACTCTCCTTTAAATATTAAAAACTCTAGATTGGGGGGTGGCTTATGCCTGTAATCTCAACACTTTAGAAAGCTGAGGTGGGAAGATTGCTTGAGCTCAGGAGTTTGAGGCCAGCCTAGACCTGGTCTTTTTTTTTTTTTGAGTTGGAGTCTCACTCTGTCGCCCAAACTGGAGTGCAGTGGCTGCTCCCAGCCACCGCAAACTTGACCTGCTGGGCTCCAGCAATCCTTCCGCTTCAGCCTTCCAAGTAGCTGGAACTACAGGCGCGTGCTACCACATCTGGCTAATTTTTGATTTATTGTAGAGATGAGGTCTCGCCAAGTTGCCCAGGCGGGTCTCGAACCGGCAGGCTCAGGCAATCCACTCACCTCAGCATCCCAAGGCGCAGGATTACAGGCTGAGCCACCGAGCCCGGTTCAGCCTAGACCTCATAGCAAGACCCCCATCTCTACCAAGAAAAAATGTGGTGGGGTGCACCTATAGTCCCAGCCACTCCAGAGGCTGAGGCAAGAGGATCAGTTGAAAAGTTCCTGGGCTGCAGTGAGCTATGATCATGCCACCGCACTTCCAGCCTAGGGGACAAAGTGAGACCCCGACTTAAAAAAAAAACAACTCTACAATTTTACCCTTAGATTTAGACACTTTAACATGTTAATAACTAGTTATATTTATTTTTTCTTTATAGGATTCTCAGCACATCAGTTCTGCAACCCACAACCAAAGTAAGTAAATACCTGAAAGTGTTGATTGCATTGGAGAGCAAATCATAGTTTTTGCTGCTTTAATATAAAAACCTTAGTACACAATGCCCAGCAGAGGTGAGGCCTTTCTATGTTGAAAGAAGAGCAAATACAAAGTATTCTTCAGATGGAATTTAAGATTGTTGAGTTGATGAAGATGTTTTAGTCAAATACTAAACAAATATAAATTGGCATTAATAACACATGATAACCATCTCGAATGTGACTCTCAACGTATTATAACCCAGGAATTGTGTGTAAGAATAGGTTGGAGTGTTTTGTGTTGTTCTTGTTTTTTTCTTCCTTGAATTGGAGTCTCATCCTGTTGCCCAGGCTGGAGTGCAGTGATTTGCTGGACTCAGGTAATCCTTCTGCCTCAGCCTTCCAAGTTGCTGAAACTACAGGCGCATGCCACCATGCCCGGCTAATATATTTTGTAGAGAGGAGGTCTCGCCAAGTTGCCCAGGCTGGTCTGGAACCCCTGGGCTCAGGCAATCCTCTCACCTTGGCCTCCCAAAGTGCTGGGTTTACAGGCTTGAGCCACTAGACCTGGCCAGTTCATGTATTTTTTAAAAGAAAACCAAGACATTTTTGTAAGGAGTATAGCATACAGTTTTTCTGCTCTGTGTATCTGCCACGTCATTCTTTTTTTGGTCCCTTTTTATGGGTGATGACTTCTTGGGAATTTGAAGAGAAAGAGAAGAAAACCAACTGGGACCTGCTTCCCTCCAATAGTGACCCCACAGATTGATTATTTGAAAGGGCTTCAATTGTTGGTGTCCCTACTATGTCAAGGCATGGCAAGCCTCACAAAAGCGACTAGGATGTTTGCAATCATTCAGTCCGTCCACATGTGACATGGGTGATGGTGGCATGCCACAGGACGGAATAATTGCCAAGGTTATGAAGTATTAGTTTTCAAAAGATCTGGAGTCAAGCGGAGCATTGGCTATGTGGAGGCATGTAGGGAGAGCAGAGCTTGGGGATACTCCAGGGGGGACTTCGCTTTTGGGTCTGTCTGCCTCATTCTTCTCCCTCACTCTCTTTTTCCTTAATTATGTTCTTGTTTGAATTGTAAGGATGTGAGGAGAGGAAATAAAGATTAAAAAAATGAGAAACAGAATTTCCTTCCTCTGGAACAGGAGCGGGTGGACAACAGTCTGAGAGTCACATTCCCTCCCACCCCCCTGGCTAGTTTTTGTAAGTCAAGTTTGCCTGGGACATAGCTGTGCTCATTTCTTTATTATTCTACAAGAGGTGCAGCACACAAAACTGGAAGTAGTGACTGTTTGGCCTTTAGAGCTGAGGCTTACTGCTTCCTGCTCTAGGGATACTGAATTAGATCTTGCAAAGAACTCGTGATTGTGTTTCCCCCAAATGCAGAGAAATAAACCTGACTATGTTGCTACAGTATTGGAGGAGTAGCAAGGTAAAATGACTTGCAATTGATGACTATTGGGAGGTTGGGAAATCTTTTTTCCGCCATCCCAGGCTAGTTGGCCGGTGGAGCGATGCAGGTCTGCAGGTAGACTGCAGCCCTGTTGTGGGTGGTTTCTGTGGTCCCCTTCTCCTCTTATTCCCCCCTTCTCCTTCCACATCTGTGAGGCTGCCAGTTATGCGACCGTGTGCATTCCACTGGTTTGCGTGACTGCTAACTTGCAGTTTAGAAAGAACCTTTGACCCATGGAACTGTTTGATTTCACCTTTTAGCAAAATATCATTGCGCGTGAGCTGATAGGTTCTTTCTCAGCCAGGGAGGGAATCACCCCGCCTCTCACCCTGGGAAGTAGTGTGAGCTGAGTCCTCCTGACCCTCTCCAGAAGTTGTCAGAGGATGGTGGGTCTCCTGGGTCTAGACTCACCAACTCTTACCCTGGGGTCTTATGTGCTGCTGCCCCTTTCTCTTGGTGTTCTTCATGAGAATTGTGGCCTTCATGGTATGAAAAAGAAGGACCTCATGGTATGTTGGATAAACGAGGCATGGGGTTGGATGGATGCAGCTTTCCCTGGGGAGAGTGTGTGTTAACATGGCACACGTTTCTCCCAGAAGGCCCAACAGGTGAACTCTGATTTCCTTGACACTGACCCTGGGTATGATACATAGGTTCTGGAGCCTGTGGAGAGGGATTTTACCCAGATGCCCATTGTTTATGTTCATGTTTGCAAAATGTGGTTGTCTAAGGAGAACTAGAACCTGAAAACATTCCGGAGTCCAGTCCAGATGATCATGTGAGCAGGAGTCCCTATGGGCGGTCAGCAGAGTGATTTTTGCTCTTCTCACTTGGGTCTTGGCTCTAGCTGTCTACACAGCAAGGGGGGCAGTTTGAAAATATCTTGTAAGAGTTGCTGCCACCATGAGGGTAAAGTAGTGAACTGCAGATATGCAAGGGCCCTCACATGACGTGGGCAGTGCCATCACGCCTGGTATAAGGCACACCTGTTTCTCTTCCATATCCAATTCCATTTCGGTCCCTGTGACCTCATGTCTAGACAAATGCCACTGCCTCTGCTCCATACACTTCCTGTTCCTTCAAGGCTATGCCAGGTAGCTCCACTGGGTTCACCTTTGTGAGCAATCACTGTGTCACATCCCTGTTGAGATCATTGGTGTGTCTCATGCCCAGCAAATACAATCATGACTTCCCGTCCCAGCGCCCAGTGCCCTCTCCATTCTGGCTTCCATCTGGCTTTTGGTGCTGTCCCCACAGAGCCGCGCCTCAACCTTCTCTTCCCAAATCCGGGCCCATGTTTCACATTTGCGCCCACCTTTCTCCCCCAGTTGGCATCATTCCACCAGCATCTGGGCAGTCCTCTGTGACATTCTGTTCTATCTTTAATTTGCCTTCTTTGGTCATCACCCATAGAGTAACTACTCTCTGGCTTCCCAGACAGTTAATTTATGTGACAGACTTGTGTCCTTAATCTCACACTGCCTGAGGTTCAGAAGGTTGTGGGCCCATTTCATGTCCCCAATCAACTGTAGGCTTGTTGAGGATAAGGACAAACTGGTATTTATAAATGACTACTGAGTGAATGCATTGGGGGGTGGGGGCTGCATAATGGGGGTACATGCTGGAGGGAAAGAACAGTCAGCCCGGACAAAGGCTGTAAAAGGGCATGATCACAATCACTGATGTGTGTGTGAAGGCAAAAGGGGAGGGAGCATGAGAGTACCCCTGTCACCATGCTGCCATGTGGGCCTCCTGTACTGCTGTCAGGGACAGGGGAGTCTTCCAGCACTAGGAAGGTTGCTGGCATTGTGGTAGGGCATGCTGCAAGCAGTGATTTTCTTTTTTTGATTTTCAAGATGTCGGGTACGATTCAGGGTTAGGTATACAAATGGTCATTGTGTAGGTAAGTTTGGTCCCCACTTCACCTGGTTTGAGATCAGGTACCCTTATTGATGCGGTGTGTCCCCCTCCCAAACAATGCTTTTCAAAATGTGTTTCGTCTGTTAAGAGTTTTTTGGCCAGGCATGGTGGCTCACGCTTGTAATCCCAGCACTTTAGGATGCCAAGGTGGGGGGATCACTTGAACCCAGGAGCTCAAGACTGGCCTGGGTGACATGGCAAAACCTTGTCTCTACAACAAATTAAAAAATTAGCTGGGCATGGTGGCTTGCGCCTGTAGTCCCAGCTACTTGGGAGACTGAGGCAGAAGGAGTGCCTGAGCCCAGGATGTTGAAGCTGCGGTGGCTGTGATTATGTCACTGCTCTCCAGCCTGGGTGACAGTGAGACTCTAACTCAAAAAAAAAGTTATTCGATTCTGAGCAAACCTTCTCCCTAGAAGTAATATAAATGCCATCTTTTAATGGTGAGATTTGCCAAGTGCGGAGGATAGCACTCTGGTTGACAGAATTTGTACCAAGTATTTAGGTAAAAAGGACTCGGGAGGGGTGAGAGAGAACTGATAGTTAACCATCTCATGAACTGTATCATGGTGCCACTGTGATCATGTTTCTCTCCCCCACAGAACAATATGGTACATCCTCAAAAACACACCCTCACACTGAGCAAGGAACATCGTAAGTACAATGCTTTTGTTTCTTAAAAGTTTACAGTATGACATTGTCATTGCCATGTAAATCTGTTGCTTTGATTTAAAAAAAAAAATGCTTTTAAGTAATTACATTCAGAAGATATTGCTGCATCGTAAAAGAAGACATGGCCCGTGTGATTAGTTGGATTAAATTCTCCTACTGAAGGTTTATGTACCATGGGAAAGTTTGCTTAGGGGGTATCTGGAAAGAAAGGTTTTTGAACCATTATTTACTTATTAACTGTGGAAAATAGAAAGCTTTGGCTTTTCACATGTTGGTCTTAAATACAGGGGGTGCCAAAAAAATGTTTACACATTTTATGTTTTACTTTTTTTTTTTTTTTTTGGTTGGAGTCTTACTCGGTCGCCCAGACTGGAGTGCAGTGGCCGCTTCCGGCCACCGCAGTCTCGCCTACTGGGCTCCGGCGATCCTTCCGCCTCAGCCTTCCGAGTAGCCGGAATTACAGGCATGCGCTACCACGCCCGGCTGATTTTTTGATTTATTGTAGAGATGAGGTCTTGCTGCCCAGGCAGGTCTCGAACCCACGGGCTCAGGTAATCCACTCACCTCAGCGTCCCAAAGGCGCGCGGGATTACAGGCTGAGCCACCGAGCCCAGCTATGTTTTACTTTTTGAAGTTGAACTGAATTATGGGAGCAATTTGTAATGTGACGTTTGCTCAACCATGCTTCCGCCATTTTCTTTGTCCTTCCTGTTGCATGATGACACCAGCATTCATTTCATTAACACTGTCATTTAAGTGAACGTCATACTTAAAATGTGGTACTCCCTGTAGATTTAGCTTTTGGAAACAAGGCTTGGGGGATTTGCCCTTGAAGCTTTTCTGCCATTTTGGGTGCCTAATTTACTATTAAGGCACTAGTCCTGTCACCCAGCTGTTCTTTATTAAGGACAAGTAAGTCCAGATAGATAGGTTTGGGGTTTGGGAACATTTTAGGCTGCACATTAAACATTTTTAAATGAGCGTTTTGACACAATTTGTCATTTCTGGATGGTATTGAACTGTGACATCTTTTCTTTCATGTGACTGGAGTGGTTGGCAGGACTCAGTGGGAATGAGGTCTTCTGCTTCAGTGTCTGATTGGTCACCAGCACCCCGAGTTGCCAGTCTCGGGATTTCGGGGGATCTAGGAATGGACACTGCAGCCTGCTGTCATTTTTAGGCACAATTTTTGTTCCACATATTTTGGAAGGTGGGGATCCTGTGGATTATTTCAAAAGCTGTTTAGTTGAGCTGAAGAGGTTATTTTATCTTCTCACCATGACTGAGTGTGGAACTGGGTTAAGTTATTTCCCAATTATCCATTCCTTAATGCAGTTTGTTTTCATTTCACTGTAGGAAAATGAGGGGGAAATTAACAATATGATGAGTTATTTAAAAGATAAATGTATCTGAAGAATTTTTTTTTTGCACGTGGTAAGAATGTATTTTATTTGTGGCACTGGTGGAGGAGACATTTTTGTTTGTTTTAAACATAGGAAAAAAATTCAACTGTCAATTATCCCTTCCCCTTTTCTTTTCTTTCTTTCTTTCTTTTTTTTTTTTTTTTTTGAGACACAGTTTCTTGCCCAGTATGTTACCCAGGCTGTTCTCAAACTCTTGAACTCCAAGTGTTGTCCCACCTTGGCATCCCGAGTAGCTAGAGCGATAGACACATGTCACCACACTTTCCCTTTTTGTTTTTTGGAAACTTCAACTGGCTCCTAAATTCTAAGACTCCAGAATCACTGACTTAGATTACATGGAAGGCAGGAGAAGGCTTTTTAAAAAAAAAAAATTCAGGGTTAGGTATACAAATGTTTGTTATGCAGGTACCCTTGTTGATGAGGTGTGCCGTGCCGCCCCCCCCACCAGAAGGCTTGTTAAACCAGTTGATGCTGGTAGAGACAGAAGCCACAGATCAAGGACCACCACTATAAGAATGCTGTGGAAGCTTTGTCACTTCCCCAAGGTTTTACACCGGATGCTTCTTCATAATGGTTGATAGCTAAACCCTGTAGACCATAGAAGGCCCTGGTCATTGTCTTTGGGGCAGCCAGGGAGGGGGAGCTGAAGCCTGGGCATCCCTCTTGGCTGTCCAGTATAGGGGAGAAGCTCTCCCAGGAGCAGAGGGCCCCCACTGCACCTAAGGCAGGATGAAGCCACTGCATCCTTGGGCTGTGGGTGAAGGGAGAAAGAAAGGCACCTGGGTCTGAGCTACCCTGAGAAGCAGCCTCAGCCGAGCAGGCAGAACTCATACCCTCCCACTCCAGTTTCCATCAGCTTTTAGGCTTGGTGGGGACTTGGACCATCCTTGTGACTCCTCCTTGAAGTGGGTGGTTCTGTTGATAACAGGGAGCTAAGCCTCTGCCATCAGAGGCGCCTGAGAGCTGATAACAAGTCTATCTTGTGACATAGTGCTTTCTTTGTGAAAGCTATTAATTTACTACATACACCATTACCCAGAAAAGGATATGTGTGATGCTCCTAATAGATTTAGAGAAGGAGTAAAGGTAGGACCTGGGAGTGGTGAGGAGGGGAGAGAAGTGACCCAAGGTTGTGTAGATAATGAGGGCGGTGTGTAGACTTTGTGGTTGTGTGGGGAAGGGGCTGGTGGTGTTGATTAGGTACCAAAATGAAAGGTACTGCTGGGAAAATGCAGTCCCTTTCAGGAGCTTATTTTTAATGGAGAGTGGATGAAAGTGGTGTCTCAATTAATTTGTAAAGTGCTGTCCTTGTTTCAGATTTGGTATGGCAGATTTTGGTGCTTGCAGGTTAATTTAATCTCATGTCAGCATTAGGGTTCTTGGACATGCTGTGAAGTGATTTGAGTGGCACGTAGAGTGCTAGGGAGATAGTCTCATGACCTGCAATGTCAGAAAAATTGTTAATTGTGGGGGGTGTTTATACTTTGGTTTAAAAAATCAATCTAGATTTTAATGCTTTTTCAGAGGTATTGGGACTTGGGAATCATTAGGACATGAGAAAGGAGAAAGCGGGTCCCAAGCAGGAAAGAATAAGTATGTGATGGGTCTGTATTGACTCTTCCATCTGTCCAGACATGGGATGGGAGTCACGAGGTGGTGGGAGATGTAAGTGTGAGAGACATGAACTCTGAATCTGTCGCCTTCCATCTCTGTTCACTCTGATAATGAGTTCCTTCTGCAGAGATCTACAGGTAACTGATTAGCTAAGACGTCAGTGCAATTGGCCCCTGAGTTCAGGGGAGAGTGTGTTTGTTTAAGGGTTCTGGGCTGTGGAATCCTCTTCCAGGGCTTGGATCTGTGGAGTGTTGAGGGCAAAGGGCAGTCTTTCCTTTTCCATATAGGCACCGTGTCCTTTATGTAATTGTGGGCAGTTCTCCTGTGTGGCCAGATTTAGTGTACTGGTATCAGTGCATCAGTCAGCCTCGTGAAAGGGATGATGTGTGACTATTTAAGAAACTCTAAAGCGGTTTATGTGTATTATTGCAGCTAACTTCCTTCTCTTTCCCTACCCCCAAATGCTAAGCCCTAACCAAAAGGTGCCCTTTATTTTTCTTGTTTTTGCTTCTGGCATCATCAACACTTACTTGGAATAAGAGACAGGAAATTAGCCATTATGGCCATTTGACATATTTATTACACATGTAGAAATTTTCTTTTGAAATGAGGACAGTACCTGGGTGTGAAGGCTGGGAGTGGGGCTGTCCCTGGGGTTGGATGAGAAGGAATGGAGCAGTTGGTAAAAGTTGGCATGAGTCTGTACCTTTCAGATGAACTTGGGTTTTCAACTTTTACTCAAAACCTTACTGGGTTTCAAATGTCTTGGTAAACAACTAAGGAAGACCTACACTATCAGCTTATTGCAGTGTAAAATCAGCACGTGAGGGCATACACAGTGTCAGGTGAAGTGTCCTAGAATTAACTCGGAAGACGCTGTTAATCTAAATCATATTTAAAGATAATTTAATTTAAGACATAGTTAATCTAAATCATATTTAGCCCGAGGAAATTAACTGTCTTTTCTTGTCTTGTTTTTAATTTATTTTTTATTTTTTCCCAATCTCGGCAATATTCATTGTCTTGTTTTTTAAACTTATATATATATATATATATATAATATATAAACTTATATATATATATATATATATTTTTTTTTTTTTTTGAGTTGGAGTCTCACTCTGTCGCCCAGACTGGAGTGCAGTGGCCACTCCTGGTCACCCCAGCCTCGACCTACTGGGCTCCGGCAATCCTTCCGCCTCAGCCTTCCAAGTAGCCAGAACTATAGGCGTGCGCTACCGTGCCCAGCTGATTTTTTTGATTTATTGTAAAGATGAGGTCTCACTGCCCAGGCGGGTCTCGAACCCGCGGGCTCATGCACTCACCTCAGCCTCCCAAAGGCACAGGATTACAGGCTGAGCCACCGAGCCCGGCTTATATATATTTTTCTTAAAGAGGGTTGGGTCTCACTATTTTGCCCAGGCTGATCTTGTACTTCTGGCCTCAAGTGATCCTCTCACTTCGGCCGCCCAAAGTGCTGGGATTGTGGGTGTGAGCCACTGCTCAGGACCCTTGTCTTTTTTTTAAATGTTGGCTTATACTATTTGAAGGTGTTTTACCTGGATCCCTTATTTCAGTGTGAGCTCTGACTTATAAATATTTGCTGATAAATATTATGAGGAAGTATGTGTAAATCTTATAGCACATTTGTCATTAAAGTCATGTCCCCACCCCTAATTCAGTGTTTCAGCTCTTCTGAAAACAGAGCAAACACTGTGCTGGTCACCTACACATTTGAAGATCTGCATTGAACTGTCAGCGTCACAGAGCACTTTTAGCAATGATTCTTGGTACTTCAATAGCTGGCATTGCCGAAAGATGTGCTTTGTGTTCACTCCCCACTTACGTGATCAAGTGGCTGAGAATCTAGGGTCAGAGATGTGCATCATATAGATGTGTAACCTAGATAAAGAGGAAGGTGTTTCATTTGTTTTCAGGAGGAAA